TCAGAAACATGTCCCATTCAGTCTCGGTGAGGTAAAAAGAAGTCTGTAAAATCTTCTCTTTGACTGTGTGTAGCACCTATGACTCTGCAGATCATTTGGAAGGATCCCAATGATAGAAACGAGCAGTGTGATCTTAATTTGAACAGCACAATTTAGGATTTTCATGATTTTGTCATTTCTCTTATGACTCACAAATCACAATAAGTCACAGTGCAATTGTGGCTATGCAAGGAGGTTGTTTGAAGGAAAACAACATATATTTCAAAAACTACATTTAACCCATGCAGCATGGATTAATATTTCATATAGTAATTTCACATGTAAATACTGTTGGTTAGCCAATCATAAAAGAGGACATTTGCTTAAAATGCACAAAAACGGCATATTTAATTGTAAAGTTGAAAATGGACATACAAATAGATAAAAATGAATCACTGTTGAATTTCGTGCAAAAACATCATAGGAGGGGGTGGGGGAATGGTAAAAGGAATTATGACATGACCTCTTTGAGCTATTGCGCTACTATTAGGTTATAGGGTTTTTAATGTGTGTGTATGTTTTGTCTGACTGCCCTGTTATAGGAGACTGTAGGGTTTAATGCTATAAAACGTACAGTATACATCAGCCTGTGGAGGGATAATCCTCTGATTCTCTCTCTCTCTCTCTCTCTCTCTCTCTCTCTCTCTCTCTCTCTCTCTCTCTCTTTATCTCTACAAAATCCTCCTGATTGACCTATGGTGTCTGCCACCGGTTCCTGTATTTAGGATCACAAGAGTCACAGGGATGGATAAGCACTTTCAAAGTGGGAGATAATTTGGTTTTTGACAGGTCACAACTAAAAAATGTCCATGGATGTTTTACTTTTTCTTGACAAGAAGACATAAGCTATGCTCATAATAGAATATTAACAGTGAAAACTGCATACTAAATAGTGAGTGAAACAGCATGCTATTTTAAATGGACATAAAAATTGTTGCATTTTTTTAAATTTAACTTTATGTATAAATGTCTTGACTTTTGTTAGTCTGATAAAATTATCAAAGGTGTATATATCAAATACAGATGCTAAAATTTACACCTGGTTCATTGGTTAGACTGGATGAACCAGGTGTAAGAACCATTTCATTGTGGGATATTGTGTTCCACAGAGTGTGCTCTTTGACAAACAAAGAAAATGTGTGTGCAAACAACATAATGCACAGTGCACATCAGGGGTGAGGCGGGTGGGCCTACATAAAACAGGGTTGGCAAAGTTTAGCGTATGAAAACTACATATCAAATCTAAAGCACTGATTAACATTAACATTAATTTCAACATTTACTAATACATTATTAAAATAAAAGTTGCATCTGTCAACATTCAGTTGTATTTTTATTAACTAATGTTAACAGAGATGAATAAATATTGTAACAAATGTATTGCTCATTGTTAATGTTAGTTAATGCATTAACTAACGTTAACTAAAAGAAGTTTATTATAAAGTACCGTATTGACCCGAATATAAGACAATGTTTTTTTCTTGGAAATACATCTGAAAAAACGCGGTCGTCTTATATTCAGGGTCTAGACTTTGACATGTCAATAATACAAGTCTTATAATCAGGGTCGTCTTATATTCGGGCCAATACGGTATTACCTCAGTCTGAGACAACTGGGCTTCGTAGATGATCTCATAATCAAGTGTCTCTGTCAGTTTGCGTTCAAATGATGGTAACCACTGAGGACCATAGAAATGTGCGCGGCTGCAAATATGCAGTTTGTTGTGGAGAACAGTATCTATCCACAAAAGACACATCTATCAAACACTGTACCTATGTTAATGATGCTTTAAACACGCTTGGCTCAGAAGTTTCCAATCTATAAATCCATCAAAGGCAGGTGGTCCGGTTTCATTTGCAGAATTCATTGTAGGTCTGGATTCATTGCTAAGACTTAGTTTCAATTGGGATATCCAATATATTCTTTTTAAAGAATGGACTGATTGATATTTGTTTCACTATTTTTAAATCCATCCCCACAAATGCGTGCATTTTACTATTATGTCCTTATGTCGTAAACATAACATTGTGGGTGGGACTAACAGAAACTGACGACTCATCATTTTGACAAGTGTATGGTATGCACTTGTAGGAAGATGGAAAATTAAGAAACTGCTTGTAATTGAACATGAAAACTTACGTTTAATATATATTTTAAGCTAAACATATAAAGCTATAGTGAAATAAGTCATTTATTGTTACTATCTTTTAATAAATTGTAATATCAGACTCATTTAAAACATAAATGACATCCATTTGGAAAATGGATGGGCCACAGTTGAAAGTAGGTGGGCCCAAGTGGGCAAGTAGCATGCTACTACAGTATGCTATTCTGAATAAGACTTTGTTAGCATGTTAATTGTAGTTTTACCTTGGTATTTGTAGTCCATCTCATTCTTAGTAGCGTCATAGTCATCAGCCAGTCTTCTGTTTTTGGTAGTGTCGGCCTCATCAGTACCGTATCGCTCATCCACAGAATCTGAGATGGGAGTCTCGTTGTTTGACTCTTTGGACTTCTCAGCCAGAGACTTAAGGAAAGTGATATCATCATCCTCAGAGTTTGACTCTGCCTCAGCTGGTGGCGTTGGCTTGGGTTCTGCATGGATGAACAGAAAACACTTGTGAGCTATTGATCACTGTGAAGCACTATGTCTGCATAAGATTATATCTCACCTGTCCTCCTGATGCTATCAGCTTCTGCAATCTGTTGGGGGAAAATAAATGAATAAAAGCACAGTCTTGACTTTTGCTTAATTTTTAATTTGAGTTTATTTGAACTTAATACATAAAACATCTTCTATACGCAGTCAGAAACAAGGGTGCAAAAGTGATCACTGGGGCATTGTACAGTTGTACATTTACTCCTAATGGGTGCATATAAGTAAAATAAACATATTAGTACCTTAATGGTACATATTTGTACCTTTTGAAAAGGTACTGCCCCAGTGACAGCTTTTGTGCCTTTTTTCTGAGAGTTCAAAATGAAGATAAACAGTATTGCGTCACATTGTGGTTGAGAAATGTGAGTGGAAAGTGATTCTCTACACTTGTGTAAACTATAGGAAAACAGACTTTATACAGCCACTAAAATGACCTAAAAACAGCAGCTGATTAACAGACATTGAGCAAAATGGTGATGAAAAGTTGTGAGAAAAGATTCTGCAGCATCTGAGTACAGATGCCATCTGTTTCGATATTTTGCAATCTAAACACATTCATGTGTTTTTAAATGAGGCATAAGTGTCTAAATACCGTTTGGGGCTACTAAATATGATATTAATACCAAGAAGCACAATGAAAAAAGAAAAGAAAAACTAGATCTAAGATGACCTTTGGAATTTGCCATTCCATAAAAATCACATGACCGTTTTATGTCTGGAATTCGTCAAAGGTTATGTCATTTTATTTCAATCGACATATTTCATGTAAAAAATCAACGCATTTTCATATGCATTCTTCAATGACATCATAATATAATGTATTTTCTCTTGCTCTCTGGCACTTAGTGTTCGAACGGCTAGCGAAATTAGCAGGCGCTCCCATCATCCTGCACGCTCTGGTTGTCATCCTGTTGGCTCTGGCTCTTTTGGGGTCTGCAGGCAGTATTCTGGTCACACTGTACAACAGCTTCAGTAACCCATATCAGACCTACATGGGACCAATAGGACTGTACACATGCAGTGGACTCAGTGGTGAGCAAACACACACACTCTCACTTATGCCAACAAACTAAAATATTTCAATCTCAAACACTATTTTAAACACCTCCTTGGTATTTGTAGTCCATCTCATTCTTAGTAGAGTCATAGTCATCAGCCAGTCTTCTGTTTTTGGTAGCGTCGGCCTCATCAGTACCGTATCGCTCATCCACAGAATCTGAGATGGGAGTCTCATTGTTTGACTCTTTGGACTTCTCAGCCAGAGACTTAAGGAAAGTGATATCATCATCCTCAGAGTTTGACTCTGCCTCAGCTGGTGGCGTTGGCTTGGGTTCTGCATGGATGAACAGCAAACACTTGTGAACTATTGATCACTGTGAAGCACTATGTCTGCATAAGATTATATCTCACCTGTCCTCCTGATGCTATCAGCTTCTGCAATCTGTTGGGGGAAAATAAATGAATAAAAGCACAGTCTTGACTTTTGCTTAATTTTTAATTTGAGTTTATTTGAACTTAATACATAAAACATCTTCTATACGCAGTCAGAAACAAGGGTGCAAAAGTGATCACTGGGGCATTGTACATTTGTACATTTACTCCGGATGGGTGCATATAAGTAAAATAAACATATTAGTACCTTAATGGTACATATTTGTACCTTTTGAAAAGGTACTGCCCCAGTGACAGCTTTTGTGCCTTTTTTCTGAGCGTGTAGTCTTGTTTTCTAGTAAACAGTATAGTTGTGTTTGATGCTAAATGGAGGTACGAAGTATATTAATCTGTGTCGTATACATAACACAGTGATTAACAATAAGTTCATATTTTTGAAATCACACCTGCTGTTCTAATGGCTTCTCCTCAGTCAGCTCTCGGTTAAACATGCTTTTATCTGGATCAGGAAAGAAACACACACACACACACACACACACACACACATTCAATAAAGGCAAAGATCACTGATAGCAGACCAGTAATTGCTCTCATTCAAGAGACACCTCACCCAAAAACATGCACTTGTAGGAAGATGGAAAATTAAGAAACTGCTTGTAATTGAACATGAAAACTTACGTTTAATATATATTTTAAGCTAAACATATAAAGCTATAGTGAAATAAGTCATTTATTGTTACTATCTTTTAATAAATTGTAATATCAGACTCATTTAAAACATAAATGACATCCATTTGGAAAATGGATGGGCCACAGTTGAAAGTAGGTGGGCCCAAGTGGGCAAGTAGCATGCTACTACAGTATGCTATTCTGAATAAGACTTTGTTAGCATGTTAATTGTAGTTTTACCTTGGTATTTGTAGTCCATCTCATTCTTAGTAGAGTCATAGTCATCAGCCAGTCTTCTGTTTTTGGTAGCGTCGGCCTCATCAGTACCGTATCGCTCATCCACAGAATCTGAGATGGGAGTCTCATTGTTTGACTCTTTGGACTTCTCAGCCAGAGACTTAAGGAAAGTGATATCATCGTCCTCAGAGTTTGACTCTGCCTCAGCTGGTGGCGTTGGCTTGGGTTCTGCATGGATGAACAGCAAACACTTGTGAACTATTGATCACTGTGAAGCACTATGTCTGCATAAGATTATATCTCACCTGTCCTCCTGATGCTATCAGCTTCTGCAATCTGTTGGGGGAAAATAAATGAATAAAAGCACAGTCTTGACTTTTGCTTAATTTTTAATTTGAGTTTATTTGAACTTAATACATAAAACATCTTCTATACGCAGTCAGAAACAAGGGTGCAAAAGTGATCACTGGGGCATTGTACATTTGTACATTTACTCCGGATGGGTGCATATAAGTAAAATAAACATATTAGTACCTTAATGGTACATATTTGTACCTTTTGAAAAGGTACTGCCCCAGTGACAGCTTTTGTGCCTTTTTTCTGAGCGTGTAGTCTTGTTTTCTAGTAAACAGTATAGTTGTGTTTGATGCTAAATGGAGGTACGAAGTATATTAATCTGTGTCGTATACATAACACAGTGATTAACAATAAATTCATATTTTTGAAATCACACCTGCTGTTCTAATGGCTTCTCCTCAGTCAGCTCTCGGTTAGACATGCTTTTATCTGGATCAGGAAAGAAACACACACACACACACACACACACATTCAATAAAGGCAAAGATCACTGATGGCAGACCAGTAATTGCTCTCCTTCAAGAGACACTTCACCCAAAAACGGAATTTATTTTTGTGTTCCACAGAAGAAAGAAAGCCATACCGTTTAGAACAATATGAGAGTGAGTAAATGATTACAGAATTTTTCTTTTTGGGTGAACTATCCATTTAATACACTCACAACGGATAACAAAAACACATACCAAAAAATAAAAAATAAAATAAAATAAAATAAAAACTGCAGTATCACTACAGTATCAGGCTCAGATTACTATTGGTGGGTTATTACATTGTAACTATAATGTAAAGACATTGTAACAACATAAATGCATTTTTAAAAAACATAATCTGTGCACCTCACCTATGGTATATTAATATATTTTATAATTTGACTCTAATTTTGAAGGAATCAAGACACTCTACATTACACAAGACTATTTTTACCCTAAAATAAAATGGCCATTAATATGCGTTTTCTTCACTCTCTCTATAGTTGTTGTGAACTTTGATGCATTCAGTTGCAGTCCAAACTGTCCAAGAGAAGCTGCCACCGAATAATCTGATTACAGGACAAAAGATTACAGGCCTTTGAAAACTGGGGCTAGAGCTTCCTATACAATAAATGATGAAAACAACAACAACAACAGCAAAATAAACCATACAATTCATTCACCTTCTTCCCACATTTAGACTATATGGAGTTGTCAGCTAATATGGGGTTTTCAATGGTAATATCTGATGTCCAACATAATCCATATACAGCCCTGTAATTTGATATATTTAAAATACAATTTAACATATTATTGTTGAGATTAAACAAAGATCTTTTACTCAATATTTACTTTCATTTAAAAACAAAGCATGTGCACGCTGAAGTCCAGACATGTGTTCATGAGTTAGGTGGACGCTCTCGGTAATATCAAAATAGCAAAATACCGTCTGATTAATTTACGTGGCCTATATGGAGAATTTTTAATTTTATTACACGTTGCATGTTTTTTTTTTTTGTTGTTGTTCCATTCAATTAGATTAATCTTCTAAATCAAATAATATCAAAATATCAAAATACCGTCTGATTAATTTACGTGGCCTATATGGAGAATTTTTAATTTTATTACACGTTGCATGTTTTTTTTGTTGTTGTTGTTCCATTCAATTAGATTAATCTTCTAAATCAAATAATCCATATGTTATAATATATTGGACTATAGGCTTTCCGGCTATTCAATAACTCACCGTCGGGTCCGGCAGGTGTGGGAAACGCGCTGATCTGCGATATTACAGCAAGGATAACCACAAACCCTACGCGTTTTGACGCCATCCTTCAGCTGGTGTCCGAATGTATTTTTCTCTTTCTCTCTCTCTGTTGTCCTCTGTGAAGATAAACGTGCCGTTGGTTTTGTTTTGTGTAGCGCGCTGGTGTTGGCTGGATGCTGCGCGCTCTCAGCGCCTCTCCTCTATAATCGCTAAGTCTTTAGTTCTGCGGGAGCTGTTGAGTCCCCTGCAGTGCTGAAACCAGGTCGCTGGCTATAATTATCAACGGATAAGCTGATGGGAGCTCCTTGTGTATAACGGGCCCTGACTCCAGCAGCTCATGGATGGATGGAGGAGGAGGAGGAGGAGGAGGAGGACGGCACGATCACATCCGCCCATGTGCGTCAGTCTGAAGCACCTGCGTCACACACGCATCTCGCATTCATTCATGACGCGGGGCAGTAAAAGACCGATGAGCGCAATAAAGAGCAGATAAGAGACAAGACAGCACTCTGAAAAGAATCGATTTTTGACAATGCGTACTGAAATGCAAATTAAAGGTTTGACCTGTTTTGATAATCCACTGTTATGCTTTGAGGTACACGTGCGTTGGGATTGATAGATAGATAGATAGATAGATACATAGATAGATAGATAGATAGATAGATTTAGATTCAAGATTTTAGATTCAATAAATCATTTGTAAAATACATGCAAAACTTTACTTCAATAAGAAGGTGACATGCTAACTCACCTGACATTTATGGAGGAAAAAAAAAACCCTTGTCCTACAAAACTGTTCACAGATCAATATTCTCAGTTGTTTACCCAAAGCTGTTATAAAAATGAGATTATATAATTTTAGTTTGAAGGACAGAATTTACTGAAATGATTCTAATTTAAGAACGTCTTAAACTAGAGAGCAGCTTATAAAACCACTAGTAGACAAATTTAAAAAAAATTTAATTAGACTTTTGATCAAAAACCTTGAGCTATAAACCTTGTGACAATGTCCCCGTGTAATACAATAGGAATAATATTGCGATATGTTAGCTGAAATAATACAAAGAGAAATTATCAAATGACTAATTTCATTTTCCATTTCTCTTTGCTTGTTAACTTTCGGATGCCTCCTCATATTTATCTTGGACTTACTATACTTACAATCATTGAGTCTATATCTCTATTATATATGTATTACATATATCTAATCCGTACAGAAGTTGATGTACATGCTTATTATGACTTTATTGTGAAAATATAAAGATACATTAAATATGTTATACACATATAGACCAATTATCTGTTAAGTATTATTTAATATTATAATCTTTGTTATTATTTGACATGATTTATGTAGATTATCTTGAGAGGTTGTGAGTTGTTCATGGTGAATGTGTTCTGTGCAGGAGGAGTGTGTTAAACAGCTCATGATTGCCTCTGCAGGTCACATGCATGAGCTGTGTCAGTGCATACAGTCTGTCAGGTGACTTGTGACCTCAAACAACTTCATCAAATGAACATTCTATCATGTGTCATGCTGAGAATAATAAACATCTGATTATTGAGAAATCATTGTCAGCTTGGCAGATGCATATGAGATACATCCCTGTTCCCAAATTCTGCAAAACATTTTTGAATTTTATTTTATTTGATTTCATTTTATTTTATTTTTCCTTCATTTTTAATTTTTTTACAAATATTTTTATTTCATTCATTAAAATTAATTTGATTAATTTTAGTCAGTATATGTCAGGGTAGGTTTATTTCAAGGTCAATTGTATAGGCCCATATAAAGTCTCAGTAAAATTACTGATGAATATTTTAGAACGAATACACAGTGAATGTTTGTGCAAATAGTCCAATGCTGCCACAATGGGAATTTGCCATTAACCTATGTCTTTCAGACTTCACTGAATAAAAACATGCTGTAAAATGTTCATATCTTAACCAGTTTTGCCTTTGCTAAATAATTCTCATACTTGATATATTTTCTTTAGACATAAGCCAAAATGTTAGGTAACACTTTATTTCGATAGTCCACTTTAGACATTATATTAACAGTAAGTAACTTTGCAACTACATGTCAACTAGCAGTTAGTAGAGTATTAGTAGACTGTCTGCTTAATATCTTCTAACACTTTCTTTGTCAACATTCTACTAACCCTAAACCTACCCTAACAGTCTACTCTGAGAGTTAGTAGACATGTAGTTGCAAATTAATGAGAATTAGTTGACATGTAGTTACAAAGTTACTTATAGTTAATAGAATGTCTAAAGTGGACTATCGAAATAAAGTGTAACCGAATGTTACTTAATGTAGATCTTTTTTTTTATTTGTACTCAGTGTCATCATAAAAGCTAAATATAATTTGAAATATAATTTTTACTTTTAAACATTTTGTTAGTCAATGTTTAATTTAGTTTATATACTATAAAGGCAACTTTGAAAGACCTTAATGTTTATTATGAGGCTTTTTTCAGCAAAATATGCATCATATTTTTGTTATGTACTAAAAAAGGGAGGAAGAAAGAAAAAAAGAAAGAAAAACAAGATAATTTCTGCAGTTAGTAAAGCTAGCCAGTATGTGTTCTGCACATCAACACTCTGTTGTCAAGTGAAAATTCGATTCTAAACAAAGTAATTTTTTTTCTTCTGTGCAGAGTGTTAGACAAAATAAACAACACCTTTATTTTCAACCAATAATTGTTTCTTTATGTCTTCTGACCATTAGGGTAAATTTGTCTTTGACTTGTTAAATTGTTTGCTTGGTACATTGAGGGAATGACAGGGTTTGTGGGCGCTGTTTCTAATTCATATGACAGGTTCACTTTTCACCCACCACAATCATGTCAAAGCAGATTTTCACTGATCTCAGAGCAGTAATGTTTTATAAAGTATACAATGTTCCATATACATTCATAATATTCATTTATGCTAATCAAGGCATCACCTTTTACTGTGTATATGCTGATATGCTTCTGTCCGTGTATGTTTGGAGCAGACAGCTCTGTGTCTGTGTGAAAGTGGGACAGAGGTCAGTCGGCTCTTCTCTGTGAATCTGAACACAACAGGCTCTTTGTTCAGATTCTTCATTAGCGCTGCTCCACATGTTCTGCACTGCATCAGTCTCTCAGCCTGTGACACGCATGCATCAGTTTCCGCATCATAAGGAAGACCGGGCTTTTCTTGTTAAAGTAATGCAGCTTCTAATCATTACAGCCAGTGAGTTGAGAATGCAATGAGGCAGCATTGATAAAACAAAACACAAGGGTATTCACAAATATGCCAACACAATATTTTTTTTAATAAATAAACAGTTTATATATATATATATATATATATATATATATATATATATATATATATATATATATATATATATATATATATATATATATATATATATATATATATATATATATATATATATATATATATATATATATATATATATATATATATATATATATATATATATATATATATATATATATATATATATATATATATATATATATATATATATATATATATATATATATATATATATATATATATATATATATATATATATATATATATATATATATATATATATATATATATATATATATATATATATATATATATATATATATATATATATATATATATATATATATATATATATATATATATATATATATATATATATATATATATATATATATATATATATATATATATATATATATATATATATATATATATATATATATATATATATATATATATATATATATATATATATATATATATATATATATATATATATATATATATATATATATATATATATATATATATATATATATATATATATATATATATATATATATATATATATATATATATATATATATATATATATATATATATATATATATATATATATATATATATATATATATATATATATATATATATATATATATATATATATATATATATATATATATATATATATATATATATATATATATATATATATATATATATATATATATATATATATATATATATATATATATATATATATATATATATATATATATATATATATATATATATATATATATATATATATATATATATATATATATATATATATATATATATATATATATATATATATATATATATATATATATATATATATATATATATATATATATATATATATATATATATATATATATATATATATATATATATATATATATATATATATATATATATATATATATATATATATATATATATATATATATATATATATATATATATATATATATATATATATATATATATATATATATATATATATATATATATATATATATATATATATATATATATATATATATATATATATATATATATATATATATATATATATATATATATATATATATATATATATATATATATATATATATATATATATATATATATATATATATATATATATATATATATATATATATATATATATATATATATATATATATATATATATATATATATATATATATATATATATATATATATATATATATATATATATATATATATATATATATATATATATATATATATATATATATATATATATATATATATATATATATATATATATATATATATATATATATATATATATATATATATATATATATATATATATATATATATATATATATATATAATCTTGTGTATAAAACTGCTAGTAAATTTCACAAATAGTTACAAAGAAAAATAAGGGATTTTTGATGTGTTTATTATTAGTGTCCAGTAGAGGTCACTAATGTCCTATTTCTCTATGAGAATGGAGGGAGATTAAAAAGAGGTGGATGTTCTAACCCAGGGATTATGACACATCGTACATTTTTGCATCTATGTTCCTTTTTGAAATACCTGAAGTGCTCTTGAGGAAGCTTCAAACTGATGGGAAAAGCGAAAGTGACCTTAATGTTAAATTTGTCTTGGCAATTATCTTGGTGTTAGGAAACTCTGGAAAACATAGGTTGTACAAATTAGATGTGACCTAGGATTAGAAGACAGGACCCCAAATTGAACAGACTGTACTTCAGCATCATTTCATGTGCGTTAACAAAAGCAGCATACACTTGTTAGTTAGGTCTACTTTCTGCTATAGAGTGTTATAGGCTAGCTGTTAGTAGAGGGTTTGGCTTGTTAGTTTGTTCCAATTATCTGGTAGTCTGCTGGTAGATGTTTTAAGTACACCATTCAACATTCACTATTCTGCAAAAGGCATATAAAATATACATATACATATAACAAATATTTCATAATATAATATAATATAATATAATATAATATATTGTTTTTGGAGGAAAATGTGCCGGTAGTATACTTTAAAATAGTGTTCCCTTTCGAACGGTCTCTCCCGTTTCGTCGCTGAAGCTTTGGGGAAACTCCTGTTTACTCCGTTACTGAAGCCTGATTTGTTCACTATCATGTAACCAATGGTGCTTCAAACTGCCAAAAGGGGAGGAGCTGACCTCTATATAAGTCCGTTCTGAGCGCCATTTCATCAGAATTTTTCTCCTTGAGCGATGAAGATCATCTTGAGCAGTGCCCAAGCAGAGGTACGTTCACTGAGACAGCATGCTCTCACTGCGAGAGCATGAGTCTTGCCCTTCTCTGCTCACGGACCGCCTTTTTTAAGGAGCGCGGTCCTTCCTGCTCTGCTCTCCCGTTTCCTCTCTCCCCTAGGGGAAAGAAACAGCGGAGCAGTGGGGCTCGAGTGATCCCATGCCGGCACAACCCCCACGTGCTTCACTCTCCCCCCAACACCTTGATTCGCCAGTGTGTTTCACACGTGAGGATCAGCGTCCCTTGTCGGCTGTGAGCAGCTTGATTTCCTTCGGTGCATCTGAGGAAGACATCGCCTTGGATGACTACATGTCATTGACCGCTTCAGATGCTGAAGAGTGGGCTTGCTCCAGTGAAGAGCCCGAAACTCCGCCTCTAACGCAGACAACACGGCCCAGCTTGGAAAGTGAGCTGATCCGCGTTCATTCTAAGGCTGTGGAGGATTTCGGCCTGGCTTTGTTGGCTCCGGCAGAGCCCGCTCACAGCCTCCTCAACAAGTGGTACCTAAAGGGATGCCGTCAACATTCCTCCCGCCAACGGCCCGCCCCATTCTTGCTGGCAGCTCATGAGGAACTCACCAAGACGTGGCGCGCCCCCTACGAGGTCCATGATAATCCCTCTACTTCTTCCGCTCTCACCACTGTTGACGGCGCTGAAGAAAGAGGTTATGGCAAGCTCCCCCCTATGGAAGAGGCGGTCGCTGAGTATCTGTGCACTGCGCGCTACTAAGGCCACCGCACAGGCGATCAGCAAGGCCGTGGCCAATTTGGTGGTGCTAGAGCCACCTTTGGCTGAATCTGACGGAGATCAGGAACACTGACAAGGTCGCCTTTCTAGACTCGCCAGTCTGTTTGGACTGTTTTCTCCTGCTGTGGATGGGTTTGCTGAGCGGTTTACAGCAGCACAGAAGTCATCGAAGGCATTGCGTCACTTCCTGCTAAAACGCTCCAGTGCGGCAGCTAGTTCAAATCGCCAGAAGGCTCCATCCGCCCTGCAGCCTGCCAAGCCGGCGCCACTTCAGCCCCAGCCCCAGCCCCAGGTTTAGTCCGAGCCTGGGCTTCAGCAGCACACCCGGACAGTGAAACTATACCCGTTTCCGAAGCGCCAAGGTCCCCACCCCAGAGAGAAGCTGGACCCAGAGCCTCAGAAGCCGTCCTGATCTATATGCAGAGAGGAAGAGGAGAGGGTCAGTTCTCGCCGAGGCCGGAACTCCCTCAAAGAAAGCTTGTGCTTGCTCTCCATCCCTCCACTTAACTCTGAGCGATGGAAGCTCCATTCAAGCTGGGCCCATCCTTCTCTCTCAGTGCGTGCCCAAGCAAACAACTGCTGTGATAGCGGACCCACATACCCAAAAGAGCAATTCTCCTCTCCTCATTACCACGAATGTCAGTTCCCTGCCCCCGTGTGATGACCTTCCATTCAAAAAACTATAACCACTTGACCTCTGGCTTCAGGCTTGGAAACTATCCCGGATGTGTCAAGTTGGATTCTAAAAACCATAGAATGAGGCTACTCGCTTCAGTTCACTTGCAGGCCAGCTCATTTCAGAGGTGTTATTCAAACTTTGGTATGGGACAACAATGCTCATGGGAGGGAGTGGCCTATCAGTACACAGTCCTCTCATTCGGACTGTCCCTGGCCTCCAGAAGGAAGGTGGTCATGACAGATGCCTCCAGCTCTGGTTGGGGAGCTCTGTACGAGGGCAGACCAGTGTTTGTCTCCCGGTCAATCCTGGAGCAGCACTCACATATCAACTGCCTTGAGATGATGGCAGTTTTTTGAGCCCTAAAAACCTTCCTACCGGCCTTAAAGGGGCACCACGTCCTGGTCCGTTCAGACAACATGACGGTGGTAGCCTTCATCAATCACCAAGGTAGTCTCAGGTCACGCTCCCTTTACAAGTTGGCTCTACGCTTTCTTCTATGGGCACAAGGCAAACTCCTCTCACTTAGAGCAGTTCATGTGCCGGGCAGACTGAACCAAGGGGCAGACATATTTTTCAGGGACAATGTAGAAGAAACAACTTGGTCATCAAGTTTCTGAGGGGGGGCTCGGAGATTGAATCCACCTCGCCCTCATATAGTGCTGACCTGGGACTTGTCTATAGTCCTCAGGGCCCTATGGGTCCCTCCCTTTGAAGTGAAGTGACATGTGGCCAAGTATGGTGTCCCATACTCGGAATTTGTGCTTTGCATTTAACTCATCCAAGTGCACACACACAGCAGTGAACACACACACAGCAGCAGTTGGGGGTTCGGTGCCTTGCTCAAGGGTCTCACCTCAGTCATGGTATTGAAGGTGGAGAGAGCGCTGGTTATTCACTCCCCCCACCTACAATTCCTGCCGGACCTGAGACTCGAACCCGTGACCTTCGGGTTACAATTCTGACTCTCTATCCATTAGGCCACGAGCCGCTCCAGTCGGCCAACTTACAGCCCCTGTCGCTTAAGACCGCACTCCTTCTAGCGCTAGCATAGGTCAAGCAAGTAGGGGACCTGCAAGCACAGTCAGTCAGTGCTTCCTGTCTGGAGTTTGGGCCCAATGACTGTGAAGTCATCCTCAAACCGAGACATGGCTATGTGCCGAAAGTGCTCTCCACTCCATTCAGAGCACAAGTCATTACCCTCCTAGTGCTCCCCAATTCAGAAGGGGAGCAGGGTACTAATCCACTCTGCCCGGTTCGGGCTCTTAGAGTGCATGTTGAGCGCTCTGACCCATTTAGGCACTCAGAGCAGCTATTTGTATGCTTCGGAGGCCGCTCTCAAGGGTTGCCGGTTACGAAGCAGAGACTATCTTGCAGGATAGTTGATGCTATAGCCCTGGCTTATGCCTCAGTGGGTTTGCAGTGCCCTATAGGTGTGAGGGCCCACTCCACCAGAGGAATGGCCTTCTCCTTGGCGTGGTCCAGTGGGATTTCTATTGGTGACATTTGTGCGGTCGTTGCTGTCTACCTTCACTAGGTTTTATAACTTGGACGTCCCTGCCCTGCAAGCACGGATTCTGTCTGCTTAACTCTACCCAATCCCCTTGTGAGTGGAAAGGGTTATATTATGTAGTAGGGATGTCCCGAGCCGATCTCAAGGATCGGGATCGGGGCCAATCAAGTAGCCTTGACTGACAGACTGGTGTTCTGACACCAGGAGCTTCATGTTTTCTAACATTCTAATGTTTTTTATCTTCACTTTATGTTGCAATTACTTTGCTTATTAAACATATAAAATACAAGACGTTTATATAATGTAGTCCCATATTCATAATTGTGACCAAAAAGTCTGTTTACGGTGTATGCATATATATATATATATATATGTGCATAGAGAGAGAGTGTATCTTGTAATATACATACATATATTACTTTTACTCTCTGCACAACTCTGTATACATTGGATTGATTTTAATAACTTTAATGTACTTGAAGTGTGCAAAAAACATACATTCCTATAGGAATATACAAGTATCGGATCGGGACTATTTATCGGCAGATACTCAATATTCAAAGACTTGGATCAGATCAGGGGCAAAAAAAACCTGGGACATCCTTATTATGTAGTCCCCAGCTTGAATGGCTTGGGTCTCATTATTGCCTCATGCTTATAGGAGCCCTCAGTATGGGTGCTCCAGGGCTGGGCTCGCAGAGTGGCTTCGTTCTTCATCTGCTCATAGCACGGCGCTATAGGATGCGTTCCCCAAAATGTCAGTGGCACAACGGTAGGGACCGTTCGAAAGGGAACACTTTGGTTAATAACGTAACCTCAGTTCCCCGAGATAAGGGAACGGGCTTTGCGTAGGCTGCCGTGATATAAGGCTGTACGCGAATCGATGACTGTCGCTTCAGTCGAAAGATTCTGATGAAATAGCACTCAGAGCTGATTTATATAGAGGTCGGCTCTTCCCCTTTTGGCAGATTGATGCGCCATTAGTCTGTGAAGCTACAGGAATGTGAACAAATCAGGCTTCAGTAACAGAGTAAACCCATTTGCTCAAATAGCAAAATAAAAACTCCATGATAGTGTTTTAATGACTTTGAAAAAAACAATATGAAGAGAGAGAGAATGATAACGGCAGTCATAGAGAGAAACGATGTCAAATTTACCGTCACTCCCATAGACGCTGTATTAGAAATACCCTCGCATTAGTAAAAAAAAAAAAAAAAAAGATAATAATAAATAAATAAATAAATCAGCGATAAACATATGGAAAGAGGTCTGGAATTTACCCAGTAAATACTGTCTCACCAAGAAGTTACATAAAAAAAACACCCTCACATTAGCGTTAACTAGTTTTTTGTAATTTGATGCAAAGGTAATATAATGCAAAGTACAGTGTTATAAATGTACATACATTAAAAAATGAAAATACAAAAAAACGTTGGAGGATTTAAGATTGACCGTTGAAACGCGTCATCACAGTCTTGTGAAAAGGTTCTGTTTACTTCAAATTGACATCAACGGCGTTAGAGAAAAGGGACTCTTATTTTGATGTGTTGTCTTTAAGTCTTTAGACGTAAGAGTCTTTTCTTTTATTGCGAAATTTTACTTAAGTTGGCTTGTCAACCGCCATTAAATCGTACAAGAAGAAGAAGAAGAAGAAGAAGAAGAAGAAGAAGAAGAAGAAGAAGAAGAAGAAGAAGAAGAAGAAGAAGAAGAAGAAGATTTGATTTACCTTACCTTACCTTACCTGTCAGCGTTTGAGTTGATCACGTCCACATCAGTATGTTTGCAATAAAGACACTAAGGAGTTTTTCTCCTGCGACGAAATTTTTTTATTTGCGGAGTAAACAGGCGTTTAGCGTGATGTCGAGGTGAGTCTCATTTGTGTTGTCTTATTGTTTTCATTACCTTTCATGTTTTACCATAGTTATGTTTCATCATAGTTCATAGAAATAGTTCATTTTAGTTGCTCGCGTTTTAGTTAGTTATTTATTTCTCTGATGCATGAATTAATAATTCACAAAGGAAAAAGAATACATTTTTACTTATGAATAACACTTTATTGATTAATTCATAAGAAAACTGATAGGCTAGGTGTTGTTACTAATACATCGGTGTAAAAGTAAAGCTAAAAGTACCTCTAAAGACATTACGTTGTCTTTTAAAATAAAGCATAATTTTATTTTATATGGTAAGGCAACTTAATAAGCTCGACCATATAAGAAATCGTATTATTTTATTTTTTCCTGGTAACGTTAACTTTCTACAGTAAATATGATTCCCCCCCCCCCCCCCC